TGTTCAGCTCACACTCTGACCTAACAGTGTATTTATTCTTGTGTGTTACAGATAAAATAAGTAGCTTAAGTGTCAGTAGAAGTTACACCCTTTTTTCCCCTGAAATACAACACTTCATTATTCTAACAGTTTCTCTGCACTTCTTTGCATTGTAAACAGATTTATTTTAGAGTCAAATTTTTCTTGAAAGTTACCCCTCTGGGGGGCCCCTGTGAGTACTGCTACTAACACATCTTCCTGGGTATAAGAATACAAGGCCCTGACCACTCTTAACTGAGGCCATTTCTCAGGGTTGTGTTTCCAGCAAGAAACCTTGAGAGATGAGGTAACACCTGTCTCTGGAAAATAAGGAGACTTGCTTATTGCTTGCGTTAAGGTAGTCAATTCTCAAGTTCAGCAATTTCTCCTTTGCAATAAAGCACAGCGTCCTTCTAGGCCAAGATCACACTACCTCCATGCTCACAATACTAGCAATACCTGAAATCTTGAAGTTAACTGTATAACACTGTCTCCAGAGAAAAGAAATACAAAGTTCCAGTTAGGTGTGTACACCAGAGGAATCCCATTCACACCACTTCTAACACCTGCAGGCCAGGGAAAGGGGATCAGATCCCCCCAGCACCTACCGTCTCATGATGGCTCTAGTGACTCAGGGGAGGGACTCCCAAAGGGGAGGGACTGGGAAGGAAGGGGTCAAAGCCACTGAGCAAAGAATCAGACAGAGGGTCCAAAGTAATAAAGGGTTTGGAAGATGCTCAACGAGGTGAATGGGCTGAGAGTAAGATCTGAGGCCTCCTATCAGTAAAACCCGTATCCTTCCATCAGCCTCCCATCTGATGCTATTTCTAGTTCTGACCAACTTCCTCATCATTTTCTTTCCATTGTTCCTACCAACTGATTTCTACCAAGAGTTTGTGCTTCACCTTGACCCACTGCAGGATATGTAGAATAGAATTTCACTTTTTTCCCCCCGGTCAGTTGTCCCAATAACCAAAACAATGCAACTCTATAGCCTTAAAACCAGGGCCGTAAAGTTTCATAAACTTTGTGGAATTATGATGGGTAGGTGGAAGTACTGAGTGCAGATTTAAACAGATTGCTTGTTTCCAAGTCCTTGGTTTGATAATTGGCAACATTCAATAGCTTTAAAGAAAGATAAGCATGCTTTCCCGTGAAGCCATCTTTGTAGTTCCAAGATTGCTATTTACCAAGAAACTGCATAAGAGAATTTCTACACTGAAATGAGAGACCATGTTCATTTTTTCCATCAGGATCAGAGCCAAAAACCAACCATATTTCTTGAAAACTTAGGTGAGGTTTCCAAGAGTTAAACAGAACAGATTTACCAGCAAAAGGCAGGAAGAGTGAGATTATAATTTGAACCAGGCAAACTGTTTCATAACAGAAAATGTGGCACTTAATGTAGTTTGCAGAATATGGTATGCTAAAAACGCTACTTTATAGCAGTAGCAGGCCTCTAGAGAGTAAAACCAGCCAAACAAAAGAACAAAAAAGGTAGGAAAAAAAGAAGCCATGTCAGCAATACAAAGCCACAAAAGACTGATACACTTTTGTGTGTGTGCGCGCGCACTGAATTACAACTTTTTCATCACACTTTTGGTTTAAAAACACAGAAAATAATTGATGGAAAAAATTTCAGTTTGGCCATTTTGCACCAGGAATTCATACTAATTCAAATTTATCCTAATTTAAAAGGACTTGAGTCTAATAAACACATGCACCACTGAGGTCAATCAAGTTACTAACACAGGAGACTATATATACGAGCAGATCAAAGTTTTCCACATCTCCTTCTGGAACAGATTTACTTTGGGTTCCTGAGTGGCTTGGCCAGATGATAGGACAGACTGATGTTTCTTTACTTGAAATAAACATTAAGTCAAACCTTTACCAGAAAACTCATACTGAAAAGACTTGGCTCACTTCCTGATGGGCTGGCCAAGGGAAAATAAGCACAAAAACCTCAATGCAGGTTTACTAGAAAATTTATTCTAATCGTCTTCAGGTCTCTTGCACCAGACACACAATACTTGAATCTTTCTTCTGTAAAACTGTCAACTCTAAATTTTGAAAAGTAGTAAGAATGCTAGCCAACAAATACTGCTAAGAAAAAAGCTAATATCTGTTGGTTCTATACTTTCCCATCTCACACATCCCCCAGTTCTTCAGTGTTGAGACCTCATCAGTAAATTATTCACCAAATTTACAGAGCACTCTCAAGAGTGCAAAAGCAGAAGAGACATATTCTTTCACACCACAGTACTTATAAGGATGTCTTGCTAATAGATAATTAACTGAAATGTTTTGAGATACAAAATGGGCCAGTGGCATAAAATGATGATTACCATCATTAAATTTTCAATCAGTCACTGCCTTCTTTCATGTCTAAAATATTTCATAATACATGCTTTGAATGTCTAAACAAATTATATAAAGACAATTTCAAATATTTTCTATTGCTAGTTCTATTTGTGAGCATTATACAAGAAACATTCAAATTCACAATTTAAAGAGTATTAAAGGGAAATTTTAAAAGATTATTTTAAAAATCCTCTTTCAGAACAGAAATTATTTCAAGCATCTTTTCTGACCACAACAGTATGAAAAGAACAAACACATGGACACTAAACAACATGCTATGAAAAAACCAATAGGTCAACAATGAAATCAAAGAATAAATCTGAAAATACCTCAAGACAAATGAAAAGAGAAACAACCTTACAAAACTCTATGGGATGCAGCAAAAGTAATTACAAGAGGAAAGTTTATGGCAATAGATGGCTTCCTCAAGAAACAAGAAAAGTTTCAAACAGCCTAACCTACCACCTAAAAGAATTAGAAAAAGAACAAACAAAACTCAAAGTCTGCAGAAAAGGAAATAATGAAGATAGAGAAGAAATAAATGAAACAGAGATTAAAAAAAAATAGAAAAGATCATTAAAACCCAGAGCTGATTTTTTGAAGATAAACAAAATTGACAAACCCCTACCCGGGCTGACCAAGAGAGAGAGGACCCAAATAAACAAAATAAAAAATACAAGAGGAGAAAAAACAACTGATACCATAGTATACCAACAAATTGGACAACCTAGAAGAATGGACAAGTTTCTAAAAACATACACCCTGCTAAAACTAAATTAAGAAGAAACAGATAATTTGAACAGACCAATCACCAAAAGTGAAATAGAATCTATAATTACAAAAACAAAAAATCCAGCAAACAAAAATCCTCTTTCATCATTCTTAACCTTTTCAGTCTCCTGTGAAAGACAAACTTTCTTTTTTACTGGTTGCACAATTTTTTAATTGAAAATATCTTGAAATATTTTTAGATTTTTATTACTGTTGTTCATTCACTTATTGTAGAAATCTTCCTAAACACCAAAAGGAAAGAAAGATTACACACACAACTTCTATGATTATTAACATTTTGCCAATCTTGTTCCTCTATCCTATGCTCATTACCTCCCCATGAGAGTATTTTAAAGCAAATTCCAGCATCATATCATTTCATCTTCAACTGAAACACATACTATGCTTTAGTGCCTAATAGTTCCTATTATGTCATAAGTACTAAGCTTACCTTTTCTCAGTCTTCGAAATAAACCAGCGTAACAGTCAAGCTTAATCCTGTATTATCCATGTCTATTCTCATATAACACTAATGTTTCTCCTTCATATCTTAGCAGGGGCTGTTTTCAATACATACATAAACTGTGGAAATTACTGCAGAACTTTGAAGTTCTACTTTCATTAGATTATATTCTTTTGTTATGGGTCTTTACAATATTGCTGACTGAGAGTACTTGCCTGTGCTTATGCAACAGTAGAGCAATTTCACAACTAAATGGGCTACTGACATGCTAGTTAATAAATTCTGGTAGACAGATCAGTCAGTAGTCTGATAAACAACCTTATGTAACTCGCAGGATTTTAAAAGTACTTTGCAATACCAAGGAAAAAGTGGAGTAACAATATTAACAACCAGTAATATTCATTTTCATTTTAAAGAAATCAGACCAGACAGAAGGGTTTGCCTTCCCAATCACAATTTTAGAGATTCTGCTTTTAATTTTTTTAATTTTTGAGGGCAGGGGTAATTATGTTTTTTTTTTATTATTATTCATTTTTTTTCAGTGGAGGTACTGGGGATTGAATCCAGGACCTCATGCATGCTAAGCATGTACTTTACCACTGAGCTGTACCCTCCCCACAAGACTTCACTTTTAGACTGATTATGTGACTTTAACTTCCCTTAAACTTTAGGCCCACAATGTTCAATCATTGTTAATACATAACATGAGGTATTTTGTATCACTTCTAAACAAAGCAAGAGTTAGCTGGCAAATGCTTTAACTGGTTTCAGGTTGTGACAGATCTTAGGAAACTTTGTGTGATTTATAAATTACAAAAAATCCTTACAACAGAAAATTTGAAGGTTTGCAAAGATGGGAAAATACCAAATAATCATTAAGAGACTGAATTCCTAAGAGTAGCAAGTCATCATTATGCAGTGGTGGAAACCCTTCAGTAAGTCAAGAGAGAAGCTAAATATACACCCTGACTAAAAGCAGTCTCCAGACTCTTATCTGGGGAGTTGCCAAAAATATTTCAATCAGAAAACATGAAAGAATCCTGTAAAATACTAGTGTATGATTGAGTAAGGAGCAAAGGGCTGGAGAAATATGATGAAAAGGCTCAAAAGAAGGAGTTAAAGAGGAAGGTATGTGTATTTCTCTTTTCATCAAACTACTTCAGACTTTTTTAAACCTTTTCACTTAGATTCCAATATAACAAGCCCCACCCTAATTTTCTACCACTGACTGGATATGAATGTGCAATTTTATCACATTTGACATAGTAAAAACAAGTTTTAAAAAACAAAAACAAGGCAACAAAAACAAAAAAGTGTTTTGTTCTTGTTTTTGCTTTCATTTTTTACATCAGGCGTTAAAAAAGCACTAAGCTTCAAAACTTACATCTGAACCCACACTTCTCATGGTATTTTGTAGGACAGGTTTAGTCACAGAAAGTTTTCCATTCACTGGGCTATTTGCCACAGGGGCTGGTACCACATTCACCACATGATTAGGTAGCTGTGGGGCTCCCCCAGCGACAGCAAGGACTGGCTGAGGGGAGGGCAGAACTCCAGGTGCCTGGAGTTGTACCACGGTAGGCTGAGAGAGCACCACGTTCTGACCTGCAGTAGAGAAAAAAGAAAAGGAATCAGAGGGTGCCTAACTATCGTGGCAGGGACAGCTGTTTAACATTTAGGCCTCTTCTGCATATGTAATAGGTAAGATTATACAAAGGGATTTCAAACCACATATTAAAACACAATCAACAGCAGCACACATTCATACTGACTTTCGTTGTTTTTGTGTATTTAATGAAACCAACTAAATTCATTCTCTTTGAAGTTATCATTAACAATATATTTCCATACTTTTTTTTTCAACTAACACATCTCAAAGTAGCTGTTTTACATAGGCTTCTCTAAGTATTAACCTCTGAAATTTATTAGTGCTAAAAGCATTTTTCATATTATAAATAACTTTTTATACTAAACAGAGAATCATGTATTTTAAATTGATGAGATTTAGAAATACATACAACACCAAGAATACATGAACAGAGATTCAGTAACTCAGTACTTGGGAGAATGACAGGCTACAAATACCAAAAACGTTAAAACCATTTGAGATGAATTTTTAGCTAACACACGCAGGAAACATGAATCCATAACCTAAAATAGCCTGCAGACAATATCAACTCCCCTCTCCACAAAATAGGTCTACAAATCTTTTCTTAATCTTCACATTTTACCTTATTTTAAAATTATGCTAATCTGAGGAGAATTAGTATCATTAACTTAAAGACTAATAAAATTCTTCACACTGGTCTATTAAAAATTTTACTTGCCCACAGAGTGTTTCCTTTCAGATCCGGCCAATTTTATAAGGTGTTGAAAGCCTCCCCTAATATCCACAGTTGCTTGGGCCTATCTAGCAAAATAAAGGTACTACAGTAACTGGCAACTAAAACCTCACAAAATATATTTATAATCTTCTTTAAGGAAAACAAAGCATTATACTTTCAGACAGTAAAACATGACCCATGTGAATCTCATTGCAGTATTTCTAAGGATCAAGGAAAACTAAAAATCAAAATAATGCTTCAGAACACCTGCTTGTTAAGAACATCTGTCTTAGTTTAAAAAAATTCAGTTCCATAAAATCAAAGTCTTTATGTTTCAAATGGCCTCAAAAAAAATACTAAAAGTAGAATTTAATTAATAGCATTTTATCCCAAGTAAGTTAGCAAACTAGTAAGAAAGATCTAAAAATAATTGCATAGATTTGTAATATATACAATTTACTTGGGCATAAATGATCACTAAATGTTTTGCTCTTCTAATTTTGCTTTGAAATAATTTATTTTATAAAATAAAAACATATAAAATAAGGAAATGACTCATAAGCAGATACAAATTTGTTTATGCCAGATATTCAAATAAAAATTAATAAATAAAATAAACAGCATATGACAAAGTGTTAGGTTTTCAAATATACTAAGATATTACAGTCAATCCGGTGTTAAACCAAGGGTTCCCACTCTGAATATAAATACCCTTCCTTAATATCAAAAAATATCATGGTCACCCAAGATGATCATGGTTTCCTTTCAGTTTCTGTGCACTGAGAGAATATGTGATGACAAAAGGCTATTAAGAATTTAGTAATGATACAAATTTGGAGTTTACAAATCAGACGTATAGCCACAAAAATCTGAAAAATAGCAGTACAAAGATATATGAAACAAATTATTTATTCAGTCTACAGAAAATGCTTGACACAACATGGATTTGCAGATGCCCTTACCAAAGGCTACTACTCCTCCCACCACCCAAATCCCAGGGTCCACAGTCTACAGGTTGAGAGCCACTGACTTAAACCAATACTTTGAGAAGAGCATTATCAGAAGCAGTGTTTCACATCTTCTGAGTTTAAAAAAGCAAAACACTGTTCAATGAATTTTTGGATCATTCCAAAGAACGGAGGAGGTGTTAAACATAAAGAATTAAGTCATTTCAAAGAAAGGATCCTACTTCTAGCTCCAGCTACAGATCTAAAGTGTTGGCAGGCAACACATGCAGTTGGCTTTGCAATATTTCTTAAAACGAATTAAGAAAAATAATCCAAGTCTGTACTGTCCGTTGTCTAGTTATCACCATATCCTTGCTGAGAGACCTGCAGCACGGAGTGAGGGAGACGGAGCAATACCAAGGCAAGGTCTGTATGCCAAACATGACTTCAGATCCTACCAGGCCACTGATGCCTCCTTTTCCTTCCATAATGCACATCAAGCCCTTTCATCCCTGGATATGCTCAAATTATCCAGCATCTAAATCAAGGATGGAAGTATCCTAGGCACGTTTGGGTTTAAGGCAGAATGAGGAGAAACAACTAAATTTCTATTACAATGTCTCATGGTGACTTGCTAAACCTGACCTGCTAGAAGATGCTCATCAGATCACAAAATGCTCATCAGATCACAAAATGCAATGCAAAGAACTGTTTCAGTTCTTAAGTAGTTAGCAGCTGAACATAGTTACTACAGTTTCTAGTGCAGAAACAATTAAAAGGGACATAACAAAAGGCTGTTTATCCATGTCAGCATGCTCAAAATCCTCTCTGGCATTACACACAAATCCCCCATAATGAACCATGGCTGGATTCAATGCTGGACACCTTCGACTATGTATGACTCACTGATTGTGATAGTCAGTTTCTTCCTATTCAGTTATTTTCAAAGATTTCAAATTTTGTATCAAACATTGATTGAATGCCTGCTTTGCCTAAAATAGTACAGCTGTGTGACTGAGCAAATAATTTCTGTGTATTAATTTTCTCATCTATAAAATGGCGATAATAATAGCATCTATCCTCACAGAGTTGATGTTAAGGATTAAATAAGATAATGCACTTAAACACTTAGAACACCATCTGGCACACAGTAAGAGCCTTAAGTGTTAGCTATTATTATTACTACTACCACTACTACTATTTATCTACTTTTATGTATAATAATTGCTTCTATAAGGGCATCTCATGCATTATTAATTCATTAGTTCTCATAGATACTGTTATTTACCCAAGTGTAAATGTGTTGGCTCCCCAATTACATAGTACAATTCTTGAGATCAAGGATCACATCTCCGCATTCTTTTAGAGGCAATAGAGTACTGTGATTAATTACATAGACTCTGAGCCAGACCACCCGGGCTCAAGTTCTGATTCTATCTCTCACTAGCAGATTAACTTGGGGCAAGTTATTTTACCTCTATCCTCCATTTCAGCGATTTGCCATATAATCTACCCAAAAAGCCCAAGACAGGAAACCTTCCTCTCTATCCTCCATCCCCCTTTCACATCATCTGATTACCGAGTCCTGTGATTCTATATTTTTTAACATCTCTACTGCCTCTGCTGGCTCTTCATTTTCATTGATATTCCGGATTTCCATTATCTCTCACCTGCACTACTCTAAGAGTCTTAATGGATGTATAGGACTCAGATACAGAAGTAGGCAGAAGCTGTTTCAGGCAGATAGAGTGGCATGTTAAGAAACAAGAAAAAACAAGAAAATTCAAGGGACAATGGCCAGACCAGTTGGACTAAAGGGTTTACAGAAAGGGTTTATTATGATGTAAAGTTAGAAAACTAAATTGGAGCCAAACCATGATGAGTTTTACATTCCAAGCTAGAGAATTTGAACTTAATCTGGTAAGAATTACCTCTTTTTTAGTGGGAAAATATTTACTACAGATACTGATATTGATTAACTGTAAGATGCATCTCCTACACTTGCCTTCTTCTTCCCTCCCCGTTTTCAAATAAATGAAAGACATACACCTAAATCTGTACATTATATTAATATCACCCCTCTAATAATACTATAAAAACAGACAAGTACCCTATATTAGCATATGTTCCCCCAAATACATACTATCTTCAGATAATAGGAAAGCACTGAAGTTCAGGATAATGTATGAGTCAGGTTTCTGAAACTGATAAACTGTTCAGAAAAGAAGTTTTTCTTCTTGCTATAGGTGAGACCTTCTATCATCAAACATAATCAATAGTCTGCTAAGATTAAATTCTTAGGAATACTCTTTGCTTTTCATACTGGTCATTTTAATGTCAAACTTCTACTTTTTATATATGTGTTTTAATAGCTTATGGGAACTATAATGAAGATCTTCACAAGTTTAAAATTTTGCCTTTGGAAAGACACAGACCCTTTTGAGATTCCGATGAAAGTTTGGAGACTATTCCAGGAAAAATCCACAAATAACACTCACTATATCTTGCATTTTATATCAGGGAGTTCATGCACACTTAACATCCATCCACAGACAACAAGAATACCATTCTACAGGACTGCTATTTTTCACAAGAAAAATGCAGCATTTTTAACTCTCTATTGAGAGAGCAGGTATTTTTTGGTAGGGTTTTTTTGGTAGGATTTTTTTTGGGTTTTTTTGGTAGGAATTGATTGATGGATTTTCACTGATCCATCTAGTCTCTCAACCAGTTCTTTTTATCAATGTCACATTGTCAATGACTATGGAATAGAACAAAGCTCACAGAGCACATGGAAATCAAATTTATGACTTTGCCCTCATTAAAGCCACGCTCCAAAGAAATGAGATCCACAGCTAGAAATACAGCCATAAATGTAACACTGGTGTTTATTTACAACCCACACCCTACTGACACCTAGTCCTACATGGTAACAACAAGCTCAATACAGGAAAAGAATGCTGCACAGATTTTCCTTTAGTCATGTGTACACATATCAGTATAAGCACAATGATGAGATCTCTATGTGCAAATGATTCCTATGTCTGAACAGTACCAAATCCTCACACTTGAACATCTTTCCATAGACTTCAACTCCTTGTAGAATCAACTATGTGAGGCCATCTGGTGGACAAAATATAGAAATACACATTTTTAACTACTTGAAGACAGACTTTCAGGTCTCTTAATGCCCAGTACAAGATCATGTTTACTAAACAATGCTGCCTCCTCTAAGATTAAGAGCCTGATTCCACTGCCAAAACACACCTATTAGACCTGAAATGAATCATATTATTTTAAACACTGACTTCTCCTTAAAGACAAAAAAGCTCACAGACACAAAAATCTCAGAATAAAATGGCACCAAGAAAGCTTCCCAGATTTTCTTCTTCGTTACAAGCAGTTATATACAACTACAAGCCTTAGAGACAAGTGTTTTCACAATTAAAACTGTGAGAAAAAAGAAGTATCAGATGTAATGGATCTGGATAGCTATCTTCCTTGTTAAAACAGGAACCACATTATTAGTCTCTCTAAAACACCCTCACAACCAAGGACAATTCCTGACACACAGCATGTGTTCAGAAATTATAACCTGAATTAAAACAAATCATGACACAAGCCTTAGTGCAATCCAATTAAATACATGCATCCTCAAATTCCATTCAGGTACCTTTAGTGGGTGTAGGATGTATACTGATAATTGGTTGTTGCTTTGCCAACGGCATAAGTGTTGGTAGTGTCTGAATAATGATAGTTTTTGCTGGAACACTGGAGTTTGTTTGAGTCTTGGGTGCTGCTGGAAGTAATAAAGGCTTGGGCTGAATTGAAGGTTTTGTACTCATCAGAATTTTTTTCTTCGGAGTCAGTCCATTTTCTGGAGAAAAACCAAACAAACCACAAATCAATTTAAGGGCAATTAAGCAAATCCTAGAAAACAGATTCTATTATACACCTTTCCCTACGCATTATCTTGACCTCTGACTATCCTTAACTGAAGTTTAAGCATAGCTACTCTATCTTAATGGACTGAAGAAAAGTCCTCAATCTGAGGTCTTTCTTTTTGACCAAGCTGCAGCTCTGGGAAAGGGACACATGAACGAGTAAAGGAGAATAGCTAAAATCACTGAGTAAAGCCTAGAGAGAATGAGGTAACAAATGTAACAGCCAAATAGCCCTAATATTCAATCTCTAACTGAAACTTTGAAATGTCTCCTGAAGATGACAGGGCCCTAACTCTAAAGTATCATTCACCTATAAAGACAAAGACAACCAAAGAAGATGATTTCTTCCCTTTCCTCCCCACATTAATCATCCACAACAAACAAAAGAGGTCTACTAATTTTAAAACAGAAAGCCAGCTTAATAAATATACACTTAATCCTACATTTTCTTTGAAGAAATGAAGCCTAAGCTCAGTATAAATAGAAATAACAGAGGCTAGGAGATGGAGTAATACCAGTTTTGCTCCTAGGACCAATGATGGGCTTATCTTCCTTCAGTGCCTCTGATGAGGAGGGGCTATTAGAGCTTTCACCATATAAGGAAAGGGGAGACATCTGGGAAGTAGAAGACAAATCCAACTCCTCCTGTAGCAAAATAAATCACAAACAAATTCAGCAGGAGAATACTCTCCTTGGGCAGAAAATTACTTAGAAAGAGAGGCAAGATTCATATGTAAACAGAGAAAATACTTCAAGACAATTTCAAGGCAAAAGTATAATATATCAGAAATATAACTATACGTAAAGTACTAAAAGACTATGAACAAATCAACATTACCCATTAATACTAGAGAGAAAATAACCAAAAATGCAGAGTATGTTTATTTTATCCTTTTATATTAAAGATATGAATCACTGATCTGATCTGCTTCTACATTTTCTCCCACAAACTTTATATCTTACTTGGTTCCTAGTCAAATATTAGTATCATTATGAGGTTACAGTTAAAACCCTAATATCCTTTCCCCACCAACTTGTATTCAGTCCTACAGGAATCTCAAAAGCAAATTATTCTTACTATTTTTATCCTTTTCTATTTATTAACACTGTCGCAAATGTTTTGAAAGAAAAACACTGAAAGGGGTAGGGCTATTTTATTTAATGGATGGATTGATAATAAAGAGATACATAAAGTTAACATTAATCTTTTCCAAAAGTCTTTTAATATTCAGTGGCTCTTTGTTAAAATAAAGAAACTTAACATAGGATAAAAGTAGTATTTCAATTCTAAGAGAAAAAGATGTTATATCAATAACAGAATGGGCATACATATATACACGCATATATCATACATCTTCAAAAGAATCTGTAAGATTATTGAAAGAAAAGTTAAGAGGGTATTTGTTTACTCTTAGCATGATATAGGCTCCCTGAAGTCAAAAAAGTCACTCTCAGTCATGCTGGTGAGAACAAGAACTGCTTCATTCATTCATCCTTAACACCTATTTAGCATGTAGCCTTAAGCTGGGCTATATGAACCTTACAGAGTATATTATATTTCGGGGGAAAAAAAGCAAGAGATAATACAGGAAGAAACTTAGATGCTTAAAGGGTATTTGAAAAAATTCAGCAAATATTCCTCATAAAAATCCTAGAAAATAAGGATTGAAGGTATGCTTTCTTAACATTAAAAAAAAAAAAGCTATGCATAACCATATAGTCAAAGTCATACTTAATGGTAAAATACTAAATACATTACCATTAAAGTCAGGACAAGAAATAAATAAATTGTAACAAATTGCTTTTTTTGTAATTTGAGCAAAAATAATTATACTAGAAAATGAAATACAAGGAATAAACATTAAAATTGAAGAGACAGAAGTGTCTTCTTTTGTGAGGTGATATACTGTATACTTGGAACACATGTAAGAGCCAACTAAAAAAAACTTCATTATGAAAATATTCTATTAATAATCACTTAGAAAATATAATAAAAAATAGTTCACTCACAATACTAATAGCAATTATAAAATTCTTAGGAATTGATCTTCTAAGGAATGTGCAGGACCTATATGAAGAAAACTAGAAAACTTAACTGAGAGGCATAAAAGAAAATCTGAGTAAAGAGATATAATAATATAATATATTATACTATAATATTATAAATAATAATTATATATAGTATTAAAATACATAAGAATATATAATATTCTTAATACAATGATAATAAAAGTGATACAATTGGGTAAATTGGTTTACTTATGTAGAGAAAGTTAAAACTAGATTCATACCTAACACATACTAAGGTAAACTCATGGGCCTACAGGGGACATTTTGGATAATGTTCACTGCAGTGTAGGTAGAACACAGAGAACATATACTCGAAGTGTTGTGCAGTTACATGCAACAGACTAATGTAGACAAGCACAATGAATTTTTTTTGTACATATATTTTTATTGAAGTATAGTCAGTTTACAATGTTGTGTCAATTTCTGATGGGCAGCATAATGCTTCCAGAGCAACATGAATTGATCTTAAAAACACTGTGCTGATTTTTAAAAGTAAGAAACAAAGAGATCTAATATAATGCCACTTACATAAATTTAAAATACATACACAAAACGGAAATCAGTGAGAAAAAGATGAACTTTTTAATAAATGGTACTGGAACAATACTTTTGACAGTCATTTGGGAAAATATAAAAATTGGATTTATACCATCATAAACCAAGATAACTCCAAATGGATGGGAGATCTAAATATTAAAAATAAAATCTTATGAAAAATATTAGAAACTATTTCTTTCAGAATAATTTGATCCTAAAGCCACAAGATGGGGCAGCGCCGAGACCAGCATCCATGCAGAGAGGCAGCCTGGTGGAGTGTCGGAGTCCAATGTGAGGAGGCTAAGGGCAGGCAGCGCAGCATGGGAGTCAGGGCAGGGTAGTAAGGGCATCCACACTGGGTCAGCCTGATGAAGGATGTCAAAACCCAGGGGAAACACAGGAATCAATGTGAAGGGATGTGCACTGACCAAATCCAGAACAGAGTAAGAATTGGAATAAATAATTATAGTAATGGGTTATAATCTTTTGAATAAAATAGGAAACCATGAGTCCATACTGATATAAACATATGAACGAACAAATTTTGATGAGAAACAGGATATTTTTACATAGTTTTAAAGTACCTCCTCATAAAATACTTATCTACAGAAAAGGGAGAAAGAGCAGCTTCACAGTGGAACAGCCTGGCAGACACCACCTTAATCAAATGAACAAAGTGAATCTCATCAGTAATAGCACAAATTGAAATTGTGTGCCACCTCATCAAAAGTAAATGAGACAAACATAGCATCACTTCTGTGGTATTCCTGCCATGGATACAAAACCTGAATCTTATCCTGAAGAAACATCAGACAAACTCAACTGAGGGACATTCTACAAAATAACTAGTCTTTAATCTCCAAAAGTGACAAGGTCATGAAAGTCAGGGAAGAATAAACTGTTTCAGTTGAAGGAGATTAAGAGACAAGACAACTAGATCCTCCTGCTGTCTAAAGGACATCTTTGGGACAACTGGCACAATCTAAATGGGAGTTGAGGATTAGATGATAGTAAGGTATAAATGTTTATTTCCTGATTTTAATGGCTATATTGTGGCAATTAAGACATATCCTTGCTTGTAGAAAACAGACACTGAAGTATTTGGAGGTGACAGGGCATCAGGTTGGCAACTAATTGTCAAATGGTTCAGAAAAAAAAAAGTTGTTTGTAAGGTACTGGTAACATTTCTATAAATCTGAGGCTGTTCCAAGCAAAAAAATCTATGTAAGTGAGAAAACAACAACATAAATATTATAACCACTGAGTGGTGAAAACCTTCCTTTGAGCAACAACAACAAAAAAGCAATAAAAGGTTGACAATTCAGCTATGGAGAAAATAAACACCATAAATAAAGCTTAAAAACAAATGACAAATTGGAGAAAAAATACTTGTAAATTATTTCACAAACTAAGTACTAATAAATTCAGTATGTAATAAAAACACTTTAGAACTATATTCAATACCTTGTAAATGCCTACAAAGAAAAAGAATATGAAAAGTAATTTCTATATACAACTGAATCACTATGCTGTACACTAGAAATTAATACAACATTCTAAACCAACTATATGTCATTTAAAAAAAGAAAAATAAATCATTGAACAGTGGTTTAAACCTGTGAAATTTGAGAAAACTGTAAGTGGAATAATTTTTTTCGAATAAATTCAGATAAAAAAAACTTTAAAAATTGAAGAGAAAAAGACCAACACAATCCAATACAAAAGTGAACAAAAATTTGAACTGACAGTTCATAAAAAGAAATGCAAATAGGCCTTATATATATGAGATATACGAAAAGACGTTCAACCACACTTACAATTTTAAAAAAGTAGAAAATAAAACATGCTGTGTAGTGACGATGGGATGATTGGCCGTCTTACATACTGCTGGTCAGAATACACAACTGAACAGCCCTGGCGGGAAGTCTGGCAATAACCAGTAACATTACAAGTGTATTCACCCTTATCTCAGCAATCTCACTTCTAGGAGTATATCCCAAAGATATTCTGACAAAAATGTGAAGGGACTGATGTACAAAATTATTTATAACAGCATTGTCTTGAGTCCAGAAAAGACTGAAAATTCAAATGTTCATCGATAAAGAAGTCACTGGATAAAGTATGATATATCCACACAATGGAACACTAAGCAGTCATTAAAAGAAATGAGAAAGATCCTAAATCCTGAAATAGGAATTACCTCCAGGATATACCACTAAGTTAAATAAGTAAGGTGCAAAACAGGGTATATAGATCCTACCTTTTGTGTAAGGAAGGATGGAAAGGAAAGGACAGTAATCAGGCTTCTGAGAATATACTGTGTTATACACTTCTGACTTTAAAAGTAAATTAAATTTGAAAAATTAAATCATTTAGCGAAATTGTGCAACCATAGAGAACTTCCAATAGCAGCTATCAGAGAAAAGCTTCAAGGAGGAAGTAATTTTTGAACTGGGACTTATGGATGAATAGGAGTTTTCCAAACAAAGGAAAAAACAAAATGAGGCTATTCCAGGCAAAAAGAAGAACATGTGCAAAAACCTACAAGGTAGAAGCAGAGATCCCACTGATCTTGTTCACTGCCGGTGTTTAGAACAGTTCCTGGCCCAGCTGCTGAATGAGTGGAGCACACAGGAGCTCTCTGGGTTAAAGCTAAGGGGAGTGTGAAGGTAGGAAGAGACAGTGAGAAACAAGACTAGAAAGGTAAGCAGGAGCCAGACCACAGAGCACCTAGACACTGGGAATTTGAATTTTGTCCCTGTAAGGGTTGGGAAGTCATGAAAAGATTTTTAAGCAAAAAACTGACACCATCAAATTTGTGATTCTGAAAGATTTATTTTTGAAGATTCCTCTGCTAAGAAAGATTTGGGGAATTAGGCAGAGGGACCAGTTAAAATCTATTGCCTTAATCCAGATGAGGTGATGATGGCCCGGCAGGGGCAGAGAAAATGAATCCCAGAGATACTAAGTAGACAGAATCATCAGGATTTAGTAACTGACTAGAGGTAAATCCTGCCAGAAGGAAGATATCTGAATTTATAGCAGATATAATTAACTGAAACATTAATTTGAATTTTTCTTCTATTTTGCTCTTCTCCCTTCCAAAAAACATCTAAATCCTTTGATACTTCCTTTTCTTGGCCTCAGAGCTTTTGTCTGGATGAAGAACAGAAGCATTTTCAAGAAGCTACCAAACTTTTGTGGAAAACCTTATTATCCCATTCAAACAGTAGTGCTAGGCATTCCTGAACTAAAGAGACCACTCTAGGCTGTACGGCTAAGGAGTTACGAAAACAGATGATCTTAGTCTTCCGTGTGCTCAAAGAACATACAGAAGAAGAAAGAGTGGCAGGGGAAAAACAATAAGCCGATAAACAAAAAATATTGGATAATATTGGAAAATACTGGTAAAGTGCAATGAAACAAATGAAACAGTGAAATTATAAAGACAAGAATGTAAAGGAAGGAGGGCAAAACCAGAGACTAACAACTTTGTAGCTTCCCCAGGACCCTTCCTGGAGACTCAGCTTCCTCTGGATTAAATGAGATAATAAGGCTTATAGTAGCACTTAATAAATGTTAAGTGCCTCCTGCATATACATATTTTCCAGATATCATTACAACCAAAATCACTGCAAAAGATTGGCTACTTACAGGAACATGCTGAGTTGAAGAACAAGAGTCCACTGACTGAGGAGATGAGACTGAACAACTTGAGGAGGCTGGAGAAAGTGGCTGAGGTTCTGCCTTAATATCTTTAACTGAAAAAAACAAAGCAAAAGTTTTCCCATTGGACAATATACACTCAATGGACAATATAAAGTCAAAATAAAATGAGTAAGAAAGAAGGTAAAATCTCCTCTTAAAATTCAATCATTTGGAAGCTAAGGTCATCAAAATATATCACCAAGTGAAAATTCAAGATGCAGAAAATAGTATATCTAGTATGCTTTCATTTTTGTAATAAATCATGTTTGTGTATACATATATATCTACTAGCATCTGCACTAATTCTCTGGAAGGATAAACATAAGAAATTGGTAACAGTGGTTGTCTCTGGGAGCAGAACTTGTTGGCTAAGGAACAAGAGCTGTAAGAGATATTTTTCAATTCTATAGACTTTTTGCACCTTTTGAATATTATACTGTAGGAAAAAAATTATAGACTTCCCCAAAATAATTTTAAAACACACGAAATAGGAAAGATTTACTTTGCAAAGCATTTTTGACAATACAACTAAAACTCACAAAAATGTTCCTATCTTTTGAACTACTATTTTAAAATTATATTGAGCCACTATAAACTAGGGAGTATTTCTAGGTATCAAATTTATCATAAGGTAGGAAGGGAGGAGGGAAGAATCTGTGTGGTAGACTGTTCTCCAAAGTTATGTGCAAAACATCTACCATCTCTCGTGATCTATAATGTGATCTTGCTACTTCCCCATCAAGAAGTAGCAACTACTAAAAAAAAAAAAAAGAAGAAAGAAAAAGAAAAGAAAAGAAAAGAAGTAGCAACTACTTCCTTTCTGTTTCAATTTAGGTGGATTTATGACTCATTCAATCAATAGAGTATAGAAGTAATGCTATGTGAATTCCAAGACTGGGTTACATCAGGCAATGCAGCTTCTACTTTGTGTGCTGAAACCCTCACATTTGAGCCTTTGAAGTCTGACTGCCACGAGACCAACAGGCAGTGAGGAAGTCAGGCCATATAGAAAGACCATAGGTAGGCACTCTAATCAGCAATCCTAGTTTTCAAGTCATTCCAGACCAAGCATCAGGCATGTGAATGAAAAAACCTTAAGGTAGTTCTAGCCCCCAGATATCAAAATACCCCAGCCTTCAAATCTTAGCTGAGGTCTGGACAACATGGAGCAGAGACAAGCCATTCCTCATGTTTCCGGACCCACAGATTCTGAGAGCCTAATAAAACAGTTGCTGTTTTAAGCCACTAAGTTTTACAGTAGTTTGTTACACAACAATAGTAACCAGAACAGTGGCCTTGTGTAGCCTGTGTTCTATGAGGGAAGACAGGAACTGAGCAAGATATACAAATACATAAAATAAAGGGGAACAGGAAACTGCAGGGGTGGGGAGGACTGCATTATAGACAGGGAAATGTGCTGGTTATTTACCCAGTGTCTCTCAGCTCTAAGTCCCCTCCTATAGTCCATGATGCAAATTATGGATATATCTCCCAGCTAGCTTCCTTTTAGGTCATGTCAATAGGGAATACTAGAAGGATGATAGACAGATAGAAGGGCAGAAGGGGTTTCTTCAGCCTCCTATCAGCTTCATCCCAGAAGTGACAGTTTGCTTCAGGATCCAGCTTCTTTCAGCATACAAAAAATCCACCTCATTGGGCCCCTTAAAGATACTAGCATCAGCAAGGTAGTGCCTCCTCCTCAGTAATACACACACAGGAATCCTACAGCAAGTTCCTAGGTTCTGATAATCCCAAGCCTCTTTCCTTTGATTTCCTAAATTCTAATTCTCTTAGATTAATCTCTTACGGAGATATCACATATAATTCAAAATCAATATTTCTGACGTAAATTTTTATTCATTATGTGACTAAGACATAACGATGAAATTCTTTATATTCACTTTGGCAAGAAACGTATGTATGCACTGCCACATCAGAAGTAGAATATATAGTCCCTGGAATTTTTTAACCCATAAAAGTAGCCCAATAACTCCATCTAATTTTGACTATTACCAAACTACAAAATAATACAGATCCATTTAAAGGTTTTCCCAAAGAAATACATTACCTGTACAGAACTGGTTGTTGATGTCCCAAATGCCCGTCTCCCAAGGCATCAAATCCAAATCAAATTCAAGATTATCAAAATTATTTTCCTGTAGGTTTCAAATCAACAAAATAATATTACAAGATTAAAATATATACAAAGAATACAAGGACCTGGGTTCAATCCCCAGTACCTCCATTAAAAGATAAATAAATAAATAAACCTAATTACCTCCCCTGCCATCAAAAAAACAAAAATTTAATTAAAAAAAAAAGAATAAAGCAACCTAAAATTCAACAATGGGGGAAATCCAACAATTCCAAAAAAAAAATGGTCATAAAATATATACACCTAGAAATAAAACTAACAGACATAATTTGCCATAAATAATATAATTACTACTATCCAACTTGGTAAAAATAATTTTCTAAGTCAATTAGTTTGCCTTAAGAATACATGCTGGATAGCTTAGAGAAAGATCAATTCAGTTATTTTAAACACAGCAGTAACTAAGAAGGAGGTAACAGATTCAACAGCTGAAAGATTTGGTTGGTCGCATTGTTTTCAATGGAAATAGACCATTACAAGGGTCACAAAATATGTCTTCTGTCATAAGCGAGATCCAGCAAAATAAGTTTTCCCATTGCCATTAAAGAAAAAAGTCAAAACAATGCCTATTTACAATATCCTCTCTACAAACAATGGAAAGAATATAGACATATCTAAAAGACATTCAGGAGTCATAAAGAGACTTTAACTGAACCTTCAAATATTCCAAATATTAAAATGGCTATAGGAGAAAGAAGAGATCCATAGTAGGATAGGTAATTTTATACATATTTTATTTTTACTGTTCTGCAGTTTTTAAATTTCTAAAATTTTTTTAATACTAGAAAATAAAACTTAGGTTCTCAAACAGGGGTCAGTAAATTTCTTAGAAGGTCTCTTAGCTTCTTTTCATTTAGATGACTTTTTTTAACTTAAATATAAGCATATTCTGGGGTATCCAGATGATTATCTTATACTACATATTAATAAAGAACTGCCACATGATTTCTGAGCCCTCCTATGAGTTTGAGATCATGACAGTCTGGGGTTACAAAGATAAGAACAGAAGTAAAATTAACATATAAACAGTACAACAGAGTCAAATGGCAGTCAATATTAACTTAATGTGACAGATAACCAAACAAAAGAAAGGCTCAGGCCTAAAGTAAAAATTAGTCTAGTAATTATTAACAACCATTTGGTTAATAATTTCTAGAGTAATATTATCATTTCAAAATGTCTATTATGTGGTTTATTTATATTGAGAGTTTAACAGGAGAGAAGGGAAACTGTTTTCTTACTATATTGCCCTTAACTAAGTAAATATGAGTGCAAGTTACATAAAAAGAATATGTGAAAGTTCACATTTAAAAAAAAGGAAAAACTATTTAAATTATAAAAGAATCAACTTTTAAATCAATCTCCTTTGCTTTTTCTCTTATTTGAATCTATATATCAAAAATTTAAGCAGCCTCATATTTTCAGCAACCAAAAAATCCTTAAACTCTCTAAACAAATTGAACAATGATGCTTGTCTGAGTGACAGCAATAGTCTTTCACATATTCAGCAGTGGCATGACTACAGGGATACTTCTCACTCAGTCTTTAGCCAAAAAAGTCAAATACATTTTACAGCATAAGAATTTTATCTGGTTAGAAATTTTCCGGCCCCTTTTTAAGTGAAGTGAAACATACTGGTATATATCTGGTTCTTCAACGACTTCTCATGGGAAACGGTACTGCCATAGGGAAGAATGATGATTTTAAAGCTAGAAAGGGCTCTCTGAAACCATTTAATCCAATTTCTTCATTTTATACTATAAAAATTAAGGAACTGAAAGACTGAGTGACTTGTTTAAGGTAATAGAATGTTAGTTATAAAATCAGGGCCATATTTCCCCAAATCTTTCAAATTTACTATATTGTTTCTTGATGATATTAGGCTCTAGAGGTTATGAAAAAATACCAGTTGCTTAAGCAAGCAGCCAATATTAAAAGCCAATTTAATCAACAGACCACATTGTAAAGCACCTCACAGAGTAAATGAAACCATTAAAGTCTCATGCACTGATTTTTAAAAATACCACATACTTCACTCCCTTCTATTGATTCATAGTTAAAATTACAATTAAATTATTCTTTGAGAAATGTCTTAAAAATCACTGAGCAAGCTTTATTTTTAATAAGGGTTTAAAAAATAAATGATAAACATTCAACCTGATTGATGTGCATATAAAATCACTCTGTTCATCTGATTAACTTCCAGCTGAAACAGCACCTCATCCATTAAAGAATAAGGCAAAATAAGAGTTCAATAAGCTTCACATGTATTAATCCCGAAAAAAAAATTTCAGATATTTTTGAGCACTCAAAGTGCAATAATTACAGCTTTTATGCAGACTTCTAACCGTTCAAAGGCAAAAAGTAAGGACATTTCTTAAGTTTCAGAGCTTTCTGCACTAAGGATACATAACTTTAAAAAAGGAAGTTGATAAGTTCTGCTTAACTAGATCCATGACTCACATATACCCTTTAAGATCACACCATTTCCCTTATGCAGCAAAATATCTGTGAAAACCAAGAAGTAGGCAGTTAAGTGACTTTTCCAAGGTTACTTACCCTTGGGGCCAAAGGTTGACTTCGAAACCAAGGCTTCTCACACGAAGGCCAATGCAATTTCTACGTTCACTGAATACAAAATCGTTACTACCTTTCCTACTCAATGCTAAAAGTTATTCAAACTTAAATAACTAGTCTAAACCTGTTATCCTGAAATCTTCCTGCAATAATTAAAGATTAAATATCATATTATTTAGTATTTCTCCTCTAGTAAATACTTACATAAATTTCATTTGTTGACTCCAATTGCAAGTCATCAGTGTCTGTGAAGTAGCCAAGTTCAGCAAACAGGGTAGAATCTATAGACAAAAGAAAAGAATAGATATTAACTGTCAATTCAATGTTTGGACAAAAGAATAAGCACTACATCCCTATGTCAGCTCTATTGGGGTTTCTCATTAGCCATTACCATTATTGATAAACTCTAGCAATTGTGAATGACAACCAATTCAAAGCTAGTTTCTGAAGTATGTATTGTTTTCCACATAATTTTTACCTTGTCACTAAATTGTTACACCAGGGATTAAAAAAAAGGTATATACATCCTGTCAGGACTAATTGACAGTGACTTTCTGGAACATTACTAACACAAATTCAGAGGCTACATCTCAGCTCAGCACAAAAAAGTAACATTTGATCAACAGTGATGCCCAAAGGGGAACATGGCAACACCTGAACTACGTATCTGCCCTCCACGCCTTAAGTACACAACTAATTTTCTATCCAAACAATAAAAAACTCACTCATCTAAACCATTAGACTTATTCCAACAAATCTAATTATGTTCCAATTTCCTAAAAAGATTTCACTGTAAACCAAGAAATATATGGACACAAAGTCAAGGTGCTGACAAAGCCAAAGAAAGCTAATTACCATACAATCTGTTAAGAGTGAATTTCACTAACACTTTCAGAACTTCAAGCACTTTGAAGAGTTTTCCAAATCTAAACCTGCCTCTGTCCTCCATATTATCAGGCCACCGAAACTGCTATGCTGATTTCCTCATTTCACATATATTGGAACTACACTGCCAGTCTATCACTGACTTGGCCAATGGTAGAAACATTTCATCAACCTAAAACAAAATAGTATGTAGCAAAAAAAATTGTGCATAGTAATAACGAAAGGTTACTCATACAACTCTCAGAAAAGGACTACCTTAAATTCAGCTGCAGAGCACCCCCCCCAAAAAAAACCCAAAAACATGTTAAGTACATAACTGTGGCTATGTACATAATTTCATGTGCACGTATGTACATAGGCTAAAACTCCTTAAAAGAGTTCTCTATACCTGCTGCTCTCATGTCTTTCCTCCCGTTCTTTCTTGAACCTTTTTCAGTCAAGCCTGCACTCCACACTATACACACCAGTTACTAATATCAACAATGACCTCTCATAAGTAAAACAAAACAACAGCCTACAGAATGGGAGAAAATTTTTGCAAATGAAACCGACAAAGGCTTGATCTCCAGAATATATAAGCAGCTCATATGACTTAATAAGAAAAAAAAATCCAATCCAAAAATGGGCAGAACTAAATAAGCAATTTTCCAAGGAAGAAATACAAATGATCAACAGGCACATG